AAACTACAGAGAGCAGTGAGACAGGCACTTACACATTGCTAGTGCAAGTGTAGATTGATAGTCTTTCTAGAAAGCAGTGTGACAAAGTATGTGAAGACTGTTAGCATGTCACTTCTGATCACCTTCTCTGCTCTAGCCCTGATCTGAGCCCCATCTTCTGTTGATGACAGATGTTTACAATGGCTTCTATGCTTCCCCTCTTATAGTCTCTTTTCAACACAGCAGTCAAAACGACCCTTTTCAAACATAAGCCAGATCATGTTGTAATTCTTCTCAGTATCTCATGATGACTTCTCATTTCACTCAGAGTAAAAATTGAAGTTCTTACAGCTTATAGGGCCCTACATAACTGTGAACTAACTTCTACTACTTTATCTACTCTTTTACTACTACCATTGTCCCCCTCGCTTATTCCACTCAGCCACACTGGCCTCCTTGCTGTTCCTCTATGCTCAGAACTGAGGGCCTTTGCACTATTTCCTTTGCAATGCTCTCTTTTCAGCCATCTGCTTGGTTAACTCTATTTCCTTCAAGTTTTCATGGAAATCTTACCTTCTCAATGTGTCTTATGCTGGTTACCCTATTTAATATTGCAATGCCCACCCTTAGCACCGTTGCGCTTCTGATGCTCTTTATCCTGCCCTTTTTCTTTTTCATAGTGCTTAAGACTGTGTTTGTTTATATTTTATCCACTGCCTCTCACACCCTCTTAGAATCTAAGCTCCATGAGGGCAGGGATCATAGTGTCTGGCATAGAATAGAGACTCAGATATTTGTTGAATGGATGAGCTTTAAAAATAGCTGTCTTTAAAAAAAAAATAGCTGTCTTTTGACCTAGAAATCTCATTTCTAGAACTGGTTCCTAAATAAATAATTAGAGGTGCAGCTAAAGATTTATTTAGGTTCTCATAGCTTATGTATAATAAAGAAATGTCGCAAACAACCTAAACATCGAAAAATAGTTAATGGTTAATTCCATTGCTATAGCTACATAATAAGATATTATAAAGATATTAAAATGTTTTTGAAGAATGTGTAATTACATGGGAATCCTATCTAATAATAGAGAAACATGGTAATTAACTGTAACTTCGCTACCCTTCCCATTGCTAATCAGTGAGATATGCAAATTAACTGCCAACCAAGGTGGCGGCCAGCAGCCAGGCAGCTGAAGTGAACAGGAGGCTTGCTTGCTCCAGTGAAGGAGGAAGCCAAGGTTCCTCGCCTGCTGCTGCCAGCCTCTGAGCTGCAACTCTAAGAAACATTGTTGCAATTATAGAAGCTAAACAATCCCCAGAAACCTGCTTTCAGCCTGCCGGCCTCAGAGCTGGAGCAGAAACAGTGTTTCAGTTATAGAAGCCAAACAAACCCAGATCAGCAGCCGAGGTCTCAGAGCTGGAGCCGAGCCTCAGAGCTAAAGCTGGCTCTCAGTTCCAGTGACAGCCATAGAAGGTAAATAAATCCCAGAATAAAAAAAAAAAAATTATATAGAGCCGCGAGGCCTCCTGAACCCAGGATCAGCGGAGCCGCGAGGCCTCCCGGCACTGGGATCAGCGGAGCCGCGAGGCCTCCTGGCACCAGGGTCAGCGGAGCCTCCCAGCACCTGGATCAGTGGAGCAGCGAGGCCTCACTGCCCCTGTGTCAAGCGGAGCCGCGAGGCCTCCTGGCCCCTGGAGCAGCAAGACGGGGCAGCGCCCAAACCCCCAATCGCCCTGCGGCTCTGTGTGTGACAGGGGGCGGGGCCGCAACCTCCCTATCCGCCCTGCTCTGTTGGTGACAGGGGAAGGCGCCCCAACCCCCTGACCAGCCTTGCTTTGTGCCGATACGGGGGAGCTTCCCAACCCCCTGATCAGCCCTGCTCTGTGTGTGACAGGATGCGGCGCCCCAATCCCTCCAATGGGCCCTGCCCTGTGTGTGACGGGGCGGAGTGCCCCAACCCCCTGATCGGCCCTGCTCTGTGGGTGACATGGATTGGGCTTGCCCTCTGCCACCCGGGAGCAGGCCTAAGCCAGCAGGTCGTTATCTCCCGAGGGGTCCCAGACTCTGAGAGGGCACAAGTGGGGCTGAGGGACACCCCTCCCCCACCCGCCGTGTACAAATTTTTGTGCACCAGGCCTCTAGTATATTTATAATGTAAAAGTGTTGGAAGGCAGAATATAAAATTAATATCCCTACTTCACACTTAATACAAAAAATGGATCAATGATCTAATCTAATAAAAGAGAAACATGCAAATTGACCGTACCTTGCCTGTACCCCAAGCCATACCCACCAGCCAGTCAGAGCCACTGTATGCAAATTAACTGAACCAAGATGGCAGCTGGCAGCCATGGAGCTAGAGCAAGCAGGAGGTTTGGTTGCCCTGGCGATGGAGGAAGCCAAGCTTCCTGCCTGCCCTGGCTGGCTGTGGCCTCCACTAAAGGCAACAAAGTTTCAATTATAGAAGACAAATAAATCCCAGATACCTGCTTCCAGCCAGCCTCCACTGGAAGCTTGGGTGGCTGGGGGCCGTGGCCAGCCTGCAAACAGCCATCAGCCCCTCACCCAGGCTGGCCAGGCACCCCAGAGGACCCCCACCCTGAAGGGGCTGGGGCCAGCCTGCAAACAGTCATCAGCCCCTCACCCAGACTGGTCAGGCACCCCAGCAGGGACCCCCATCCTGAAGGGGCTGTGGCCAGCCTGCAAACAGCCATCAGCCACTCACCCAGGCTGGCCAGGCACCCCAGTGGGACCCCCACCTTGATCCGGGATACCCTTCAGGGCAAACCAGCCAGCCCCCACCCATGCACCAGGCATATAATAAAAGGGTAATATGCAAATTGACCCTAACAGCAGAATGACTGGGAATGACTGGTCACTATGACACACTGATCACCAGGGGGCAGACACTCAATGCAGGAGCTGCCCCCTGGTGGTCAGTGCGCTCCCACACGGGGAGCTCTGCTCAGCCACAAGCCAGGCTGACAGCTGCCAGCACAGCGATGGTGGCGGGAGCCTCTCCCGCCTCCTCAGCAGCGCTAAGGATGTCCGACTGCAGCTTAGGCCTGGTCCCCGCTGGCAAGTGGACATCCCCTGAGGGCTCCTGGGCTGCCAGAGGGATGTCTGACTGCCAGCTTAGGCCCGATCCCCCTGGGGAGCGGGCCTAAGCCAGCAGGTAGACATCCCTCGAGGGATCCCAGACTGCGAGAGGGCACAGGCTGGGCTGAGGGGACCCCCCCTCCCCCGAGTGCACAGATTTTTTGCACCGGGCCTTTAGTTTAAATACTAAAGCCCAAACCATAAAACTCTTTGAAGAAAACATAAGGCTAAATCTCCATGACCTTGGATTTGGTGATGGATTCTTAGATATAATACCAAAAGCATGAGCACAAAAGAAAAAATGGTATATTGTACTTCATCAAAATTTTAAAAATTTTGCATCAAAGGCATGATCAAGAAAGTGAAAAGATAACCCACTGAATGGGAGAAAATATTTGCAAATTATATATCTGATAAGGATTTACTATCCAGAATATATAAATTCAGTAACAAAATAATCAAAATTTAAAAATTGGCAAATGTTTTGAATAGATACTTCTCCAAAGGAGATATACAAATGCCAATAAGCATGTGGAAAAATGCTCAACATTATTAAGCATTAGAGAAATACAAATAAAAACCACATTGGAACACCACTTTATACCTACTAGGATGTCTGTAATCAAAAGTAACTAGTGTTGATGAGGATGTGGAGAAATTGGAAACTTCATGCATTGCTTGCAGGAATGTAAAATCGTGCAGCCACTGTGAAAAACAATTTGATGGTTCCTTCAAAAAGCTAAGCATAATCGCCATATGGCCCAGCAATTCTGCTCCTCGGCATATACCCAAAAGAATTGAAAACAGGACTCAAACAAGGACTTGTATTCCAATGTTCATAGCAGCATTGTCCACAATAGCCAAAGGGCAGGAAAAAAACTCACATGTTCATCAACAGATGAATGGATAAATAAAATGTGGCCCATACATAGAGTGGAATATTACTCAGCCATAACAAGGAATGAAGTTCTGATCCATGCTGCAACATGAATAAAGTTTGAAAAACATTGTGCTAAGTGAAAGAAGCCAGACACAAAAGGACAAGTGGCGTTTGATTTTGTTTATAGAGACAGAAAGTAGAGGTTAACAAGGGGCTACAGGGAGAGGGAATGGCAAGTTATTGCTTCATGGGTGCAGAGTTTCTATTTGGGGTTGATTAAAAAGTTTTAGAAACACATAATGGGGATAGTTGCACAACATTGTGAATATAATTAATACCACTGAATTATACACTCAAAATGGCTAAAATCACAAATTTTGTTACATATATTTTACCACAATAAAAATGATTAACCCCTCCCCCCCCAAAAAACACCTATACCAGATATAAAATATACAGTGTTGGGCTGCATCTGATGTATGCAGGTTCCCTAGAGCCAATTGTGAGCAACTCTTCCCAGCTACTCGTTCAGTGATGTTGGTAGCTTGAAATTGGCCAAGGTGGGAGTATTTTTATTATGCAACTTCACAAATGCTACAAAATAGAGCTTCACCTCAGTCCCCTCGAACCAGTTAAGTACTTACCTGCATACCACTAAATATATGTATATAAAAATAGAAAACTGTCTGGAAGGATAGATGCCAAACTGTGATTACCTCTAGGGAGAAGAATATTGTAGCCAGAATACAACAGAAAACTTAAACTTCTTATCATATACATTTCTATATTGTTCCAACATTTTTACAGTGAGCATATAGACATATATTTCTTACACTGTTGTGTGTGTTTTTTAATGGACAGGAAAATCTGCATATGATGGGATTGTGGTGTGATGGCTTTTCTCTAGAGAGGGTAAAAGCTAATCACATGTACTGTCTGAAATGGCCTGTGAAGAGGCTGAAGGTTGGCCTGGATTCTGTTTCCTCAGAAATATGCTTTGCTTCTTGCCCAACTAAATGGAGCTTTTCTTGTCTCTTTGTAGGTTACCCCACAGCCTACCCAGCAGCAGCCCCTGCCTACAACCCCAGCCTGTACCCCACCAATAGCCCCAGTTACGCTCCAGGTAAGCAGAAAGTAGAGATAATAGTGGTGAGTGGGATAGGAGGTGGGATCTATTGAGAAAAACATACCCGCCTGCTGGCTTTTTCCTGTTCTTAATTACTCTGGGCTCAGCCTGTATAAGTATGATTCTCCTGGGAGTTCCCTCTGGGAACTGGGCAGTTCAGCCTTAGGGTGGGGGCAGGAGTAGAATCTCCTCCATTCTACTTGGGGCTTAAGATTGACCCATTTCTCCTCTGTTGGAATATCTGAGACATGCATCCTCCTCACAGAACCTTGTCTGCTCTCCCAAACAACGTCCAATTCCATTCTTTGCTCAGTTGCCTCTGAAGGTGTCATTAGAAACTCTCTCTCTCTCGCTCTCTCTCTCACACACACACACACACACACACACACACACACACACACACACACACGCACACACGTTCTGAGTGTGTGTGGATTTGGAAGAGAGTGAGAGACTTGCCACCAGGGGATAAAGAGCTGGTTTTCAAGTAGCATCAAATAACATGTTTTTCAAAAATCATAAAGATCCAACACTCCTTGGATTCTTGGCTGGTGCTTTAACACTCGAGGGGCAGGAGAAAGAGGGTGGGCTCTGCAGTTAGTCCTGGGTTTGAATCCTGATTACTCAACTCACTAGTTGTGAGGCCTTGGACAAGTTACCTGACATCTGAGAAATGTGCTACTTACTTCAGGGTTATAGATGGTTTAATGTAAGTTCCTCTTCATTTACTCAGCAAGAATTTATTTGTTGATTGTCTTCCACACTGGGATAGAAAAAAAGAAAGGATGCCATCTTCGGCTCAGTGGCTTACCGTCCATTGGGGAGCTGGCATATAAACAAATTCCTGGCTGTGCAGCGTGTGAGTATTGTAGAAGGGCTACAAATAAGAGGAGAAAAGCAGAGAAGGGAACAACAGTCTGCCTGAGATGAAAAGTGTGGGAGAGGCTTCACACAGGGCCTAGCAATGGCGACTTGAAGAAGTAGGGGTGTAACATTGGAGGCCCAGCTGAGGGTGGAGGCCGTGAATTTGTCCAGACTCTGTTCCCCAGACCTGGGGTATTTTCTCATGATGTTCAGAACTTCTGGTGAGAGATTGTGGAACTGTTTTAGGATTAGTTTGGCAAGAAAGTAGAGGATGGGGAATAAATAACTAGTATTTGTTGAATGGTTCCTATGCTCCAGGGACTATTTTGAGCTCCTTATGGATATTAACTTGGTTAATATCACAATAAACCCTTGAGGTTAGTACTGTTGTTATTCCCATTTTTCCAACTGGGAAAACTGAAACTTTAGAAGTCAGGGAACCAGCCCAAGATCCAAGCCCAGGCGTCCTGCCACCACACCTGCATGTGCTCTTAACCACAACATTACACTTGGACCTGGCCAGAGAAAATTGAGGGTTAGACTAGAGCAGCCAGACCAGAGAGGGAAGGGAAAGCAGATGGAGGGAGCTAAGACTCGGGGTGGGGTGGAGGGAGTAGACATTGGAAAGCTCTTGGCACATATAAAGTACCAATTAAACTTTAATTCTAAAGCAAAGTATCACCCCTCATCAAACTTGATTTTCCCCAATTTTGAAAATTCAACGTATTTCTAAACTGTGACTAAACCAACCCAAACCATTTTCTCAGAAACCTACAAAATCCATTAGAGAGGGTGGGATTAGCTCATGGTGTCAGAAAGCCCCAAACTGGGGAGACCAGGGTTATAGCATCCTGGTTGCCTGGTCTGTTTCATATTCAGGAGGCTAGCGTCTGCACTCCCCAGGCCCGCTGACTGCAGTGGGGGAGCTCCTGCTGCAGGGGAACTGACTGGCTCAAGGACAGAGAGGACAGTGTGGGTTACTTTCAGCTTCCTGCCAGATCCAGCCATGGTGATGCTGAGAGTTGCCTGTGGGATAGAAACCTGCAAAGGAGCCAGGCTCTCAGGCTTAAATTTCTCTCAGCTTCTTCAAGGAGACAAAAAAGTTGCTTTAGAGAGAGCTATTTTTCGCAGCTCTGAGGACCCTCATATGTCACCTGTCCAGGATGCAGGGCAACATTTCAGTGGTCTGAAGGCAGTGTAGGTACTTGGAGCTTTCCCCCCAAGCTCTTAATGACTCCGGGGATCTTATTGAAGAGCTCTCCCCCGCCCGCCCCCCCCGCCCCCAAGAGGCAGGAGCCAACTGACACTTGTTTTCGGAATCTGGAGGCCAAAGGATGTGTTGTATTGTCATATTAATGGAAATCTGACTTGAAAGTGAAAGGAAAGGATAAGTAGGATAACGGTTATAGATAAGGATGAAATACTATCTCACAAGAAATCTGTTTATAAGTCATTTTCATTGATTGTTTCATTCAATTTCATAGCAGCCTTGTAAAGTGCAAGTGTATTTTTCCCATTTGACATGTGATGATCCTGGGGAAAGGATTTGTGTTTACTGAACACCTGTCATCTTCCAGACACTGTGCAAGGCATGTCACAAGCTTTCATTTTTACCTTAGTCTTATAAGGTAGCGCTTCTTATTTCCAGTTTTGCTCAGGGAGTTAAATAACTTGTCCAAAGCTGCTCAGCTAAAAAGCAGTGGAGCTAGGATTCAAACCCAATCTGTTTGAGCCCATAGCCTGTGCTCCTCCTCCTGCACCACATTTCCCCGGAAGCCTCAGGGAGGGGAATGCCTTTGCATTGGCTGTAGCTCTCTTAGGCTTTACAGAGAGCTCTTCAGAGGCCAAAATGATGATTTTGTCCCTGAACCTTCATGTCCTCTAGCACATAATCTCCGTCATAGGTGAAGTCCCTCTGCAGTACTTGGGGGAATTGAAATGTACTCTCAGCATGGACAGGCAAAGAGTGGGACCCTGCCTTGTTCACATCCAGGCCGCTTCTGGGTCAGCTGCTGGAAGATGCCATCACATTCAAGGAGGTGCCCCTCAGTGGGCTTTTCTGGATGGCAAGTCTGTCACTCCTCTCCAGGGTGGAGGCACTTCGCACCCTCTGCACTCTCTGTTTCTTGTGTAGCTTGGGGTAAACTGCTAACTTGAAACAAAGTCTGTTTTTGTAACTGCAATATATACTACTTTGCACAGATTCTTAGTGGTAATTTCAACTAACATTTCTATCCAACAGAGTTTCAGTTCCTGCATTCAGCTTATGGTAGGAGAGCTATTTTTCCTCATATGTATTATGGCCTATGAATGTGTTATCTCGTAACAACAGTAGACCCCCTCTCCTGCCCTCCCCAAACCCATCCCCTAGGCTTGGGCTCCCCCAGGTGGCTCAGCAGCAGTTCCTAAAGCATGCAGGAACATGTATGATGGTGCAAAATCATGGGTTGGAGACACACATGAACCGTCCCCTAGGGCAGCAGTGAAGGATCATGGCACTAAAAGGCGACTCTCCCCTTCCTCACCTCCGGAGTCCCATCTGACCCAGGTCAGAAACCTTTACCGTAACTGGCTGCTAAGTTCAAACAAGTGAAACAAAATTTTTGGGCTGCTATGGCTCCTCTGTTGGCCTTGAGGCAGCCTCTTGGAGGAGTACCTGGATTATGCCTATAAGAATCAAAAGCAAAACAAAACCAGTCAGCCCCCAGATCAGATTCTTCATCTCCATTGGCAGTCTGACATGTTTGAAGACCTGGTTGACTTGAGATAAAATCTGTTTCCTTCGCCCAGATCTTGAGCTCTGGATCTTTTTCAGGGCATTTTCCTGAATGGAGAGAGGTGAGGGTCAAGTGTGCCAAAATGAGCGAGGGACCAGAGCTGGGTTCTCTGGGCAGTGTGGACTCCAGGCCCCAGGCACCACAGGAACTTATGGGCACCTGTGAGGGTCCCAGCAGTGTAACTTGACTAGGTCCTTTTTGTCATAGACAGGAAGGGACCATGGGAGGGACTTGCCACTTTCACCACCCTCACCTGGGCTGCTCAGGACAGTGTTTTTGTAAAATCTCTGCACACTTTCTCAACTTATACCCTTAAATGATTTGGGTGATGAATATTGAATTTGTGTGTGGCCCATCTTTCAGAAGATGAGCTGTGAAAATTTCTCTTTGCCACTGTTGTGTGCTGTGTGATCTTGGGCAATTTGCTAAAGTCTTCAGGCTATAGATAATGTGTTTTATTCCAGATGACATGTAAGGTCCATTTAAATGCTAACAACCGGTCCTCTTAAAATTTTATTATTTCAGTTTTACTAGTTACAGACTTGTTTCTCCTATCCTTTATGGGGAGTCACTTGTTTGCCTCAGGATGTATGAACTTGGACAGAGGACTCAATAAAAAGTGGGAGAAGCTCTCATGCTCCCTCATGCCTCCAGTTATAGCATCCACAGTTCTAGTCCAGGCCCTAAGCTGGTCCTTTGAACCTACAAAGACCAGTAAGACAGGGGCCCTGTTCTCAAGGAGCTCCCAGTTTAGTAGGAGAGACAGAGAAGGCAGCTTCTAAGAATTACAGTGACTGGAAAATAGTGGACCATATGGGATCTATGAGGGGGCTGTGGTCAATGAGTGGGGAAAAGAAAAGACTCATAATACAGATGGATGAGTCTTTAGCTCATAATTAATGAATTAATAAATGTTTACTTGTTAGCACTTAGGGAAAGTCTGGGCCAAGGAAGGGTGACCATTGTCAGCAAAAATACAGAAATGTGATGCTCCTTGGCACATTCTGGGAATGACAAACGAGTTTGTGTGGCGGTACAGGGTTAGAGAATGAGAACAAGAGAGAGTCTAGAGAGATCATAGGACTGTAGGCAGTGGACAACTGTGGAATGTTTTTTAAAAAGGGTTTGTGATTAGGTTTAGGTCTTAGAAATAGCACTCTGGGTACAGCTTGGAGATTACAGTTGGCAGGTTTAAAAACAACAGTGAGGAAGAAATTGCAGAAGTTCAGGTGAAAGATGATGAGAGCTTAAATTAGAGCTCTGTGGGATAGAAGAGTAAACGGATATCAGGATTAGAAACTGTAAGACTGGGTGATACTTTATATTTTTTTAATATTTAAAAAAATGATTTATAGAGAAAGGGGGAGGGAGAGGGAGAGAGAAACATAAATTGGCTGCCTCCCAGGCATGTACCCTAACAGGAATGGAACTGACAACCTTTCAGTGCACAAGATGACCCACTGAGCCACGCCGGCCAGGACTATGACACTTTATTTTTGATCCTCACATCAATACTATGAAAGTAATCAGGGAATGATTATTATTGCCATTTTAGAAGACAACAAAATGGAAGTTTAGAAAGGTTGTGACTTGCCCAAGGTCTCACAGTTCATAAGTGGCACAGCCCAGGCTAAAATTCAGATTTCCTGACTTACTACATTGTTCAGGATGATGGTCCCTTGCTGCCTCTCCTCCTTGTGAGTGTGCTTAGCAGACTGTTCAAGTGTCAGAGGGCACGAGGGCCCCGTATCCAGGGAAGTGAACAACCCAGCACGTGGATGTGGGCAGCATGCTGTGACTGGGCCATGGCCCTTCACCGCCAAGGGTTCTCTCTCTCTCTCTCTCTCTCTCTCTCTCTCTCTCTCTCTCTCTCTTTCTTTCTCTCTCTCTCTATCATTCTCTTACTCTTGCTCTCTCCTTTTTAAATTGAGGAATAATACATATACTATAGTATATACAGTCCACGAGTCTCAAATATACAGCTCAGTAATATTTGACATATGTATACACTTATATTTAACTACCACCCGGTTCTAAATATAGAAACCTTTCTAGGAGTTGGTACCTTCCATGGCATCCAGGAGCAAACGTGCCTGTCAAAGCAACCTCCTCTGTTACCATGCCTCTGAAAGGCTCAGTTGGGTTGTCTTCATCCCACAACTGAGCTCTGAACCACTCACCAACAGAATGGTCACTTTGTACATGGAGGAGGAAGATCGTATGGCACAACGAATGAGGAAGCCAAGTTGACAGCTGACATTCTTTTTTGGTTTTAGTCTTTCTATTTATCCAGTTATTTAAATTATTAAGTATTTAAAAATATAAAGAAATGTATTTGTTTTCTTTATAATGAAACCAGAAGAAGATATTCACTTCTTCAGGAACATGTATAGTTTGGTTCACTTGATCACTTGGGAAAGACATAATCAAAGGCACAGTCGCACTTGCTTCTTTCCTGATTAATCTGAAACATTATTTTACTGTGTGTAATGCTGTCTTGTTCACTCTCTGGTTGGCGTGTGGCTGTGTTGCATCCCCCGCTAGACCATAAATACCTGTGTGCAGTGACCATGACCCACGTGTGTTCCTGTCCACCGTGGCGCTCCCCTCAGTGCTGAGTGCAGTAGGCCTCAGTCACTCTTTGGTTAATTTTGATTTATTTACTTTGTCACACAGTCCTTCAGGCTAATGTCAGGCTTTTGGCTTATGATGAAAATTATGGTATAGTATTCACCACTCGGGGAAACAGCTGGACCAGAACTGGATCTCCAAATTCTCTGCAGCCAAATTCAGGCCTCCTGAGAGTCCCTGTGAGGTCTTGAGGGCATGGATTTTTCTTTTTAGGGAGGTGTTTTGGGTGGGCAGAGCTATCCAGCCACATGGAGTGGCAGGTTCTAAATTTAGAGACATCTTGATAAGATTTTCAGCACTAATTGGATCCTTTATTAATCCTCAATCCCCACTCACCCCTATCCCAGAAAAAGAAACCCAAGAGAATTATTTAAAACTGACTGCCCTCATCCTACATTGTCTGCAAAGCCATGTCTTGATGTCCAGCAAAGGCCCAGGACTCTGCATGGGATTCTGCTGAGTCTCCATTTCTTCGGCCAGAATTCTCCTTTTAGTGTCACCTCCCTGCCCATGATTTTCTTCTCATTTCTCAGCATCTACTGTATATATTGCGGGCCATTAATGCAAGCTCAAGGTCAGCCCACAACAGCTAGATTTATAGCCTTGGATCAGCAAAAACAGCAGTCCTTGACTTCCTTCTCTGGGCCCAGTATCTCATGACCAAAGGAACTGAGGCGTTACCAGTTACTCAGACAGGCAGAGGGTTATGGGACCTCTCTGGAGGTGGGCTCTTCTTATCCTGGTGGAACTAGAAGTGTACAGGCACACTGTCTTCTCATAACATCCTGTCTTACCTTAGTCCCTTATTAAAATGTTTCAAGTATATCGGACTGTTGCCAGTGCAGCCCCACCTCCTTCTAATATTCTTTAAAACACCCATATACATAACTCCCAAGACCTTATTTGAATAGAAGAGATACTGTTAAAATAATTATTTTTACTCTAAGTAGCAATTTGTGTCAAGAATGTTTCTCCTCTAGTATTTGAAAGTATATCAAGGGAAATATCTAAAATGTTAGGCATTTCCCCCCTTTGAAACCCTATTTCCTCTCTCCTTCCCCACAGGATACCATGAAGGTAAGTTTTTGTGTGTGTGTGTTTTTTTTTTAAGTTATTCCCACTTCTAGAACATATGAAGCATCATCCTTCACATTTTTCAAGCTGAGATTTGAGTCAGCCTGGGAAGTCTCTGTAAATTTCTTTCAAACTGGGCCTCATCTCTATTTCACACCTACTCAGGTTTGACATTTACGTTTCTTTTTTCTTTCTTTCTTTTTTTTTAAATATTGATTTCAGAGAGGACGGGAGATGGGGAGAGAGAGAGAGATAGAAACATCAAGAACGAGAGAGAATCATCGATCAGCTGCCTCCTGCATGCCTCCTACTGGGGATGGAGCCCACAACCCAGGCATGTGCCCTGACCGGGAATAGAATTTCAACCTCCTGGTTCATAGGTTGACGTTCAACCACTGAGCCACACCAGCGGGCAGCATTTACTTTCTTAGTGGCCCAAAAGATCATCTCTAATTCACGAGAAGATATCTCAAAGTGAGGGAGGCACCAGTAGCACCTCAACATGAGGTATAATGGGTGTACAAGCCATTTGTCTGTCTGGCCATGGCTGGGTATATAGGAGGAATTAGCAGGGAGTGCCAACATGGACCCTCTAAGCTGCCAAAGCTCAATCCCTTTAGAAGAGATGGCAGTCCAGCAAGGTTCATGTCATATGGTAATTCATTTAGGGTTCTCTCTTTGAAAGCAACTTATTAAATACTCCTCCAGATGAGATTTCAGGCTTAAACAAAGAGTACTCAGTTGATCTGTCCCAATAGACAGTCGTCAAAGGCTCCGAGTTGCTACACATTCATGAGGAAGTGGCTTAGGAATAGACCAGGGCCTTAGGCCAGAGTGCCACACAGTAGGAGACAGTATTCACAGGTGTCTTCGTGGTTTTGGTAGTATGTAGAAAATTTGGACTCTCCTAATTTAATATAAGCTCAGATTTCCTGGGGTTCACATCATTTGGAAGCTCACTTTAGCACTCCTCTCAACCACCACCCAGCCCAGAAAGGCTGGACCGTCCTGTGTGTCTGAACAGGCCCCTTGAGTTATATGTTACCATCCAGCCCAAAACCCTTACTTTGTGTCTGTGATTGGTGGTGCCCACTTCTTATTTCTGCCTAATGCCATTCTTGTGTCTTCCCTTAAGCAACTCTGCTGATGAAACAGGCCTGGCCACAGAACTCGACTTCCTGTGGCACTGAAGGCACCTTCCACCTCCCAGTGGACACCGGGACCGAGAACCGAACTTACCAAGCATCCTCTGCGGCTTTCAGTAAATACAGCCTGTCTCCTCCTTTCCTGTTCCTCTTGGTTGGGACTGATTTGTCTCTTAGGAAGAGAGGAAAGGGAACTTTAAAAAGTGACATTTATAAGACACTATTTTAAGAGGTTCTCTTACCCACACAAAAAATTGGCCTTCCTCATATAGGAAAGGTCATCCTCTTTGATCATGCAGCCAGCTCTGGGGAGACACAAAGCAGTGAGGGAGGGAGAAGGAAGTGCTCATCTGGCCAACAAGTTTGATGAGGGAAGGACTGTTTCTGTGTTTCAAGGGAAAGGACAGAGGGGACATCTGAACACCTGCCTGTGGACCTTTAGACAGAGCGGGCTCCTCCAGCTAAGCTAGCACAGGGGTTCTCAACCGGGTGCTGTGGGCATCTGGATCAGATCACCCTTGTTGAGGGGCTGTCCTGTGCATTGTAGGGTGCTTAGCTGCACCCCTGACCTCTCCCCATTGGATCCCAGTAGCAAACCCTCATTATAGCCATCAAAAATGTCTCTAAACATTGCTAAATATCCCTCGGGCCAGATTGCCTCTGCCTGAGAAATTCTATGCTTGTGGAAGCTTCACTGTGGGAGTAAAGTATGGACGTGGAGTCATCAGGAAGGACAGAAACCCTCTGGCCAGTCAGATTGGTCACACTCATCTTGAGGCTCAGTGAGGTGACTGATGGTTTTACCTTCACATCTGATTTTTAACACAAAATGGCTCCACTGTGTAAAATGAGGATACAAGGTGAGAAGTTAGTGGCATTTTGACTCCTTGTAAGTAGAAATGTTGGAGCTGTCCAAAAGAGGAATGGCTGGCCTGGGATGTGGTGAGTGCCTGTCTGAAGTTGTTTAGCAGGGGGCTGAGCAGAACTGGGTGGGATGTTGCAGACTAGGCCCCATAGTGTGATTCAGTGGCTTATTCATCTATTAAGACTGTAGAGAGGGTCAGAAGAATACATGGTATGTTCTTTTTCTTTAAAATACCCAGTGTCATTTCTTCTTAGTTATCATTGTTCCTAAATGTCAACATCAGCTGATGTTCATATGTAACATAGCTGTCACCTTTTGGAAACTATGCTTTCATATCACCCTCTCATTTAATCTACACTGTAATCGTATTGTTTGGGCGGATTTTTATCTCAGTTTGAAAGCTGAGGCTCAGGTAATATACCTGTTGCCATCCAACTGGTAAGCAGCACAACTAGAAAAAGGTATCACCATGGTTAAGTTGCTACTACTGTTTTTGTTTTTATTTTAATCTTCACCCGGGGATATGTTTATTGATTTGAGAGAGAGAGGACAGTGGGGGAGGGGGAAGGGAAACATTAATTGGTTGCCTCCCGTACACCCCTGACGGAATTGAACCTGCACCCCAGGTATGTGTCCTGACTGGGAATTGAACCCTCAATCTTTTGGTGTATGGGACAACGCTCCAACCAACTGAGCCACCCGGCCAGAGCACTATTACTTTATTTTCATGAGATGAATTGTACTCTTTAAGAGAGTGATGGCAGCAGTAGGAAATTTTTCCAGATACCTGTGGCATTATATATGTCCATGTATATGTGGCTTATACATATATATTCTCTCTCATATCTACATGTATGGATGTAGATGCTTATAGACATGCCTACTGTAGTACAGCAAAAAGAGCCTGAAGTAGAAGACCAAAAGAGTTGGATTCTAGATTTGGTTGTGTATAACTTTGGATAATTCTTCCCACATTTTGGACCTTGGTTTTCCAACTGCAAAATGAGGGGGCTGGCCTAGGTCATCTTTAAGGTTCCCTCTAGCTGTTTAGACTCCTGATACTCAATATCTTCTACTGCAGCAGGGACCTCCTCCCTAGTTTCCCTGACCAATAGTTGGCCCACTAGCCATTGCTCACACATCTCCAGGTATGGGGTACTCATTCCCTTCAGAGACAACCCTTTCCACAGTGAGAAAGTCTCAATATAAGAAGGTCTTGCCTTCTATGTTGAAATCTTCCTGCAGTCCCATTGAAATGTCCAGTAGCTATATCCTACTACCCTCTCATAGTTTATCATAGTCCCCTCTCTTTTAAGCCAGTAATGTATGAACCTGTGTAATTTTTAAATAGAGGTGGGATTAACTGGTCCTACCACACCCATCAGGGTTCCTCCCAGCACACAGATTTTGTGGCTTCTAAGGCCACAGAAAATTCAGGGCACTTTGACAAATTTAGTTACTTGCTAAGCCTGTTTGTAACTAGGTCTCCCTCCTACTTAACTCAGCACTCTCTTGTTCATCTGCCAAGGAGACTTGAGGGTCAAGGCAAGAATCAGATCTAGAGCTTTGTCCAGACATATAAATCTAATGTCAATAAACCAGTTAGTCTAAGACGCATCCTTGATATGAGGATCAATGCCTTTGAAGGTGTAGGGGCTCTACAGCTGAATAAGATTTATGACAGTGCAAAAGGATTGACAAGAGGACTTGCTAGTGTACACACTCTCTTTATTATCCTGTTTGATGGAGCCTAAAATTATGGATAGGAACCTGAGAGAAAGAACAGGGTGTCATAAGCCTCTTTTAAGGCAAAGCTGGACTTCTAGTGTCAGATTCCTTTTTACTCTCACAATATTGCCTTTAGTGGAATGATGACACAAATGTTAATATACCAAATGCCCAAGATTGGCTTCCAGAGAGGAGTTCTGCCCAGAGCATGGCAAACCCTCAACTCTGGGCCTAGCTCTGCACTGATTTGCTGTGCAGTTTTCGGGATGTCTCTGCCCCTCTGGGCTCCAGGTTCTTCATCTGAAACAGAGAGCATTGAATTCAAGTCAATAATGTCCTTAAGCCATAACATTCGAAAGACCTAACTCTCTGACCTTCAGACTTAGGTAGAACTCCTTTAAGGAGAGTCAGGCCACCCTTGAGTGAGTTGAGTCTGTGTTCATTTTAGCAAAATGCATTAGTTGTGTGTGTGTGTGTGTGTGTGTGTTTTATTTTGTTTTGTTTTTTTTCCATCAAGCCCAGTAGCAGCTTTTACTTAGATGCACAGAGCAATGACCCTGAATGTGGTGATGTTCAAGGTAGCTGAGGCCACAGCCCAGGGGATTATCCAGTGATCCTCAAGGCATGAACAGGACCACCAGTCAGTTGTGGAAAGTCCTCTGCAATGATTTCCTCATGAAAGTGTCACTGAAATACTCAGAGACTTAGAATGTCAGCTCTTGGAAGGCCCCTCTAATATTATCTAATCCAAATGAGGCTATGTCTTGAGAAAAGAATTAACCTGACTCCCTGACAGGGTCCAGGGGAGTTTCTGTAGCCTTCTGACAAAGTCGGCACCCTTGAGAGCCACTGTGGTCAGAGGACAGAGCCCTGAGTCCTTGCGAGCAGTCAGGCTCGCTCAGCATATGTTCAGTCTCTCATCTGAGACGTGTGTGTTGGTCTGATGATCTGAGGCCTCCTTTAGCTCTGCACTTCTGCTTCTCCCTGCTCAGACTGTCTGGACAAACAGGCAAGGCCTTCTGCTGCAGCAGCATTTTGGCTGCCAAGGGTGTTTTGGCTACTGATTTGTATTCTGAGTATGTGTGTGTCTTCATTTCATAACATGGAAAAAGAGAAACATTCTCAGACAAGGTTATTCTTAGATGTGGAAATCAAATTCTATTGCAATCTCTTGGAGCCGTTTGACTTTCCTCCGAGGGATGATCTCAATACTATGTAAGGTGGTTGTCCTTGTGGTGAAAAGGGGGAAGTGCAGGCTTTCCTGGGGATCATCAAGGAGAGTCACCAGTATTGTTGGCTTAACTTTAAAGACTCATAAAATGATGGCATTTTAGACTGTAAAATTTTAGAATCTTAGAATCCTGGATCATGCCAAGGAAGCCTAGTTTAACTACTATCTACTGTAGTCTTTCAGACCAGTCTCTGCTTGTATACCTCCAGGACAGGAAGCTCACTATCTCTCTATACAGTGAGAGAAAAAGAATAGCTAACCTTTATTAAGTGCTTTTAATGTATTGGGCACTATTCTAAGGGCTTTGCACTTATTAATGTATTTACCACAGCAACCCTACAAGTAGGTTCTATTATTACACCTCCTCCCTCCCCCGCCCCCCCAACCCTGTTTTACAGATGAGGAGACTGATATATTCTACAATTGTTAAGTAGCAGGGCTGGGATTTGGACCCAGGCAGTCTCTCTGGCTCTAGACCAGTGGTTCTCAACCTTCCTAATGTCATGACTCTTTAATATAGTTCCTCATGTTGTGGTGACCCCCAACCATAAAATTATTTTCGTTGCTACTTCATAACTGTAATTTTGCTACTGTTATGAATCATAATGTAAATATGTGATATGCAGGATGTATTTTCATTGTTACAAATTGAACATAATTAAAGCATAGTGATTAATCACAAAAACAATATGTAATTATATATGTGTTTTCCGATGGTCTTAGATGACCCCTGTGAAAGGGTCGTTCGACCCCCAAAGGGGTCGCAACCCGCAGGTTGAGAACCGCTGCTCTAGACTAACAACCATTACTCTGCTGGATAGCTTTCATAGACAGGCATCTTAGGGTTCGGGGTGTCTTGCCCTCCTGTGGAAGAGAGGTGCTCTCCACTCTGGCAGGGCTCCCCATACCTTGTTTTACACTTTTAAATCATGAGTCAGCAATATAATGTTTTAGATTTTTCAGGCCATATGGTCTCTTTTATAACTACCACTGTAGCAGGAAAGCAGCCATAGTCTACGTAAATGAATGGCATGGCTGTGTTACTGTAAACTTTATTTACCAAAACAGACTATGATTACCAAAAATTGCAGTTTGCCTGATTTAAATGTAATAGTATGAATAAAAGATTCTGCGGTAAAATAAATTTGGGAAAATCTCCTGCATATCCCTATTTTAGAGATTCACAGTTCATCTTGTCATTTTAAAACTTCTCAGGGTCATGGAATGAAAAAACCCAATCTTTTTATCTCTATTTTACATTGCTGCTTTCTTCCTTTTTTTGCAAAATAATGATTAAGATCCCTCAGAACCACAGTCCCTTGTGTACTCTTGGGATGTGCCCAGCTACCTTGTTTTATAGGAGATAATGTCTGTCTCCAAGCTGAAGTACCCCTGAGATGGCTTCTAGAAGTCTGCAAAGCTACTATAAACTCCCTGTTTTCCCCACATATCTGCTTCTCCTGTGACCACTTTCATGATTAGCTCCACAATCTAGAAACTTGGAGGAATCTGCTGTAGACTTCTCCCTCAGTTGGCTCACACCACCCCTTCTAGTTAGTTTCCAGTTCTTACCAATGCTCCCTTCTCTTTCATGTATTCTTTCCCCCCATCTTCTTTGCTACATATTTCCGAAGTGTATTTGACCACAAAATTGGTTTCTCATGGTACAAACTGTGGATCTCCAGGGGGAAAGATAAATGACATGACTCCGGGAAGAGGACAGGACATATTTTATGGTGCCATTGTATCAACTAAACAGCACCTCCCAGATCCTGCCAACTCATCTGAGATTGGGGGCACCAAGCCAGAGCTGTGATGTGGACTGAGCGAGATTTGTGACGATGTGGCACTGTCCCTTCAGCTCAGAAAGGAGAGGTTCCTATAAAGACCTGCCTTCTCTAAGCCCCAGGATCTCATGTAGATCCTTGAGTTCAGTCCAGTCATTCATTTGTGATTCTCGTTCCTGAGTCATGCGTGTTTCAAGTGTGTCCTGTGAACATAGAATCTGAGTCTCTTCTCCAAAGAGCCAGGGGCAGCAGTTTGGTTGGATGATGGTGAGTTTCTTAGGGTCTGATCTCTCAGCCTCCCCCCAGCTTTTGTCTACCCTGCTGAGTTACCCACATGGCCTGGGTTCCAAATTACTGTGAACCTTTGTGACCCCTGACTTCAGGCCTTCAGGCAGAGGTGGCCCTGCCCCATGCCCCAGGGGGAGAGGAAACACCAGCTCTATAGAGAAAAGTTTTTCAGCATCTCCAAAGGTGAGGATCTTTGAATGGTGTTTTGTATGGAGGTTTTTATTTTTACTTTTATTTTTTATTGATTCTAGGGAGGAAGGGAGAGGGAGAGAGAGAAACATTAATGATGAGAGAGAATCATTGATCGGCTGCCTCTTGCATGGCCCACACTGGACATATGCCCTGACTGGGAATTGAACCATGACCTCCTGGCTCATAGGTCGATGCTCAACCACTGAGCCATGCTGGCTGGGCTGTATGGAGTTTTCACCTTAAAACTTGGCACGGAGGAAGGGGAATATGGTGGAGGGAGAGAGATACAACGGGAAAAAGAAATAATAGAAAGGGGGAAATCAAGAAAGAAACAGCAGAAAATACCCCGGGTGCTTAGTGAGGAGACAGAAAAGCAGCAAGATAGAGAATGCAATAAAGAGTGGACAGGTTATGTAATACATTAAACAATCAAGAATTTAAGTTAACAACAACAAAAAGTTAGTTATACTATTATGCATTTATGTATAAAAACGAAGTGAGCAGGTTGAGGTTCCCCATCTGTGTGCACCTGCCTCTCACGGCAGGTAGCTCAGAATCCCAGACCATTGGAGCTACCAGGGTCCTTTAAGAGATCATTACTTCCATCTGTTATTTTATAGATGAGAGCCCTAAGATCCAGAGAAGTAAAAGATGCCAGAATTACACATGCATCCCTGTGCACCAGGACTGAGGGAGCTGCCTCTGGGAACAGTGCTCTCTGAGTGGAGCCCTGCTCTCTGTCTGTTCTCATCTGTGTTTCCAGCCTGGATTCAGCCCATTCTTGTCTAGGGAGTCGTGACTGGAACCTGCTACCTTCCAGCAATGCTGTTCTGCCAACTAATTGGAAGTCTTTCTTATTGCCTTGGTACAGGATATACTGCGGGGACACCATACAAGGTCCCACCGACCCAGAGCAATACTGCTCCACCCCCCTACTCCCCATCACCCAACCCCTATCAGACGGCCATGTATCCCATCAGAAGTGCCTATCCTCAGCAGAATCTGTATGCCCAGGTAGGTGCATGTGGAAGCCTGGGCCCACCTCTTCTCCAGGTAAAGGAGCTACCAGCCTGAGTGGGTGGGTGGGTGCAGGTAAGAAAGAAAAGGAAGGAGAGCTCCTGGCTCTGCCCAGCTGTCATTGTTTATCACAGAAACAATATCCCTGCAGTTTATACATTCCCTCACTCCACTTCAGCCCTGGGAGTGACACACGAAGTCACTTAGATTAACGGAGCCCAGAATGCAAGATGGGCAAGGGCTTTTGGAAATCTAGCTCAACTGCTTTTTTATATACAAACTAGAGGCCCGGTACACGAATTTGTGCACTGGTGGGGGTATGGCCTGTGGGGATCGGCACACTGTGGGAGCGCTGCTCATCCTGGTCAGCGGAGCAGCTGTGGACCTGCCCTCTGAGTGGCTGCTCCTGCTGTGGGAGCACACTGACCACCAGGGGGCAGCTCCTGCATTAAGCATCTGCCTCCTGGTGGTCAGTGCGCGTCATACCAACTGGTCAACTGGTCATTCTGGTCATCCCGTTGTTCGGTTGATGGGCTTTTATACACACACACACACACACACACATATCAGCGGTCCTCAAATTATGGCCCGCGGGCCACATGCAAATACAAATATTGTATTTGTTTCCGTTTTGTTTTTTTACTTCAAAATAAGATATGTGCAGTGTGCATAGGAATTTGTTCATAGTTTTTTTTTTAATCCCCCCCGCCTGCCTGGTAGCTCCTAACTGCTCCTGTGCCAGCATGGTCACCCCATACTGCCCCCCATGCTGGCCTGGTTGCCCCTCATTGCCCCCCCGTCAGCCTGGTCACCCCCAACTGCCCCCGCAATGGGCCTGGTCACCTCACGCAGCCTGCTGCTCAGTCGTTTGGTCGCCCCTCACCCCGCTGCCGGCCTGGTCGCCCCACGCAGCCTGCTGCTTGATCGTTTGGTCGTCTCTCACTAACCCCCCTGCCGGCCTAGTCAACCCATGCAGCCTATTCGGTCATCCTTTCAGTTGTGATGGTCGCTTAGGCATAGATAGATAGATAGATAGATAGATAGATAGATAGATAGAGATGGGGACTCCAAGACCCAGAGAGGTCACCTATTGGGTGAGTCAGGATGAGAACCCTTATGTCTTGGGCATTTCTCTCTACCCTCCACATCCACTCTTCCTTGATAAAGTCTGTGAGCTTGAGTGGGGAGGACATATTAATGCCCAGGCTCTGCCACCAGTTGGCTGTATGACCTTGGACAAATCACTCTGTGTGCCTCAATGCCCCATCTGGGCTCCTTGAGCTAGAGAATGCTGTGTTCTGAGGGGATGGCAATGCTACAGTGACTGAGGCTTTAACACACTCTGCACATTTTTCTGGAGTGACAATTTTACATGAGGCTCTTTTTTATAAAAATGTTTTTATTGATTTTAGAGAGAGGGGAAGGAAGAGGGATAGAGAGATGGAAACATGGATGAGAGAGAAACATCTATTTATTGGCTGCCTCCTACATGCTTCCTAGTGGGGATCAAGCCCACAACCCAGGCATGTGCCCTGACTGGGAAGTGAACTGGTGACTTCTTGGTTATGGGTCGATGCTCAACCACTGAGCCACCTGGCTGGGCTGACATGAGGTTTAAATAATGAGGAGAATGCTTTTTAAATATAAAAAACAGCTATATTTAGAGTAAAAAGCAAACTTTAAAAAGAACAATAGGCTTGAGATAAGTGTTTCTTGTTTATGGTAGGCTGCTTTGCACTCTGCTCTCAGACCTCTGGGGTCACAAACCACATTCTGAAGCTCTTGTCATTATTTAGTAGAAACATTTGAAAAGCTCTGGATTCAGATGATCCAGGGGCCCTGCCTACTCCCCACAAGGTCAGTAGGCCTGTGGGCTGTGGCAGGAGGAAGCAGCCATGTGGTCCAGGCATTTGAAAGTCACCTTAGACCACGGTCTCCATCCTCAACCTTGTTCCTAAAGGGAATAGGTGGTAATAGGGAAATGCTCTGCACCTGTGACCTTCTTCCAGGAAAACGGCAGCACTCGCACTGATGTGACGCTCCCACTGGTCCAGGGGTTCCCAACCTTTTTTTGGCCACGCCCCACCTAAGCGTCTCTAAAATCCTGATGCCCCCCCTCCCCCAACATATAATTCTTATTATCCAAAAAGTGAACTCCTATTCACGTGGAGGAAGCCTGAAAGGCCATTAACTTGGTCTAAACAAGCTTCCAAAGAACATGGCATCCATGAAAGAGAAAAAAGAACGGAAACAATTTCACTAAGAAATTGTTTAAAAAATAATAATATGAAGTGATATGGAAAAACAACAAATAAAGCTTCAAAACAATAGAGAACTGAAGTGCATAAATATGTCACAATACATGTTTATATCCTGCACATGAGGCCTCTGGAACCATGAGGAATGCCAAAAATTCAGTTAGTAACTCATTCTCAGATTGCCCCCCTGTGAGGCGTCTGCTTCACGTTGGGAACCACTGCACTAGTGCTTCACGTGTGTGCGCACAGGGCTCTGGTGTTCAGCATGCCCACGTCCTCTTCACTCATTGGTTGCAGCCCCTGCCTTTACATGTTAGGCAGTGTATACAGCACATTTCAATAAAAGACAAACATTTTAAAATGCCAAATCAGTGTTACAGAAGTAGAGCTATTATCCCACTAGATCATCCTCACAGCCCTAGGAACGAGGCAGGACAGGGTTGGAGCCTGACTTTTCAGACCAGAAGCTGAGCCCAGCACTGCATTGTCCGTAATCATGTAGTGAGACAGAAGCAGAACCCCAAGTGGGGCCCATACCCTGTGTCCCTGGCCTGTGCTTCCCTTGGGGCCTGGAAGAATAGGCTTCCCCCCACCTCCTCTCCACACCCCTCCCACCTTTAAAAGCCTATGTGACCTCAGCCTCGTCTCCCCCAGGGAGCCTACTACACACAGCCGGTGTACGCTGCCCAGCCCCACGTCATCCACCACACCACGGTCGTCCAGCCCAACAGCATTCCCTCCGCCATCTACCCGGCACCTGTAGCTGCCCCCAGGACCAACGGCGTGGCCATGGGCATGGTGGCTGGCACTACCATGGCGATGTCAGCAGGTGAGGGCCATCTCTGTGTCAGCGTCGATTCATCTCCCTCCTCCAGGAACTCGTGACAGAGTGGAACACAGTCATGAAATCAACGTAGCATCATAGGAGAAACCCTGTGCCAGAGCTTCTGGGGAGTAGAGGCGGGACCCTCTACTAGTAAATCTGTCTGCAGGGACGAGGAAGATCTCAGAGGAGGGCATATTGAACTAGGCCTTTAAGGGTGAATGTACGCTAGCCAGAGAAATGAAAGAGCAAAGGGCAGTCCAAGCGGAAAGACCATGAGTATGGCGTGTTCACAGAATGGAAATGGCCTAAAGCACTTAGAAAATAGGGGTGTGAAGTTAGAGGGGTGGCTGGAGCAATCGGCAGAGATAAAGTGGGGAAGAATACCTATAGGTATCGGAGAAGGGGCTTAGGCAGAGGAGAGATGGGCTTGAAACATCCCTCTGGCTGCAAGGTGGAGGCAGGATTAGATGTGGGGGCTCGAAGCGCACAGGACAGGGGGAGGCTGTAGTTCAGAGGAGAGATGATATGAGCACCCTGATGACAGCAATGGCCCCAGGAAGGAGAGCATGGGGAACGTGACTTAGCAGGCAGGTGCATAAGGACCTGCCTCATAATTAGTTGTAAGCATGGGAGAAGCAGGAGTCCAGAAGGACCGTCTTCCATTTCTAGCTTACTCCAGAAATTAGACCCCCACCTCAGGGACCTGGAGGATGGGGTGGAAGAGAAGCCAGAGGAAGAGCAGGTTTAGGGAAGTCAGGAGGAGTTGATACTCCAGAGAAGAGATGAGAAGACAAGAGGGCTATGCCTGATTTTAGAGTCCCAACTTCTAAAGAATCAGCTGTCACCTTCTGAGGGAAGAGAGTACAAGGGGTCGAGTGGGTGGGAGGTAAGAATTTGGGATTTTATTCTGCCCCAAGTGGAAACGGTTGTTGAGGCCTCTCATTCCCCAGATCACATCAGGGAGCTTTTGAGTGCTGCTTGGTGCCAGCCTTGTTCAGTTCCTGGGTACCAGGTACCAATAGCTCAGACCAGAGCCCTGCCCTTAGGAACAACTAGGTTAGTGGGAAGCACAACCACATAAGCAAGTTACCCCTCAGGTATTTCTGCAGTGACAGGAGCATGCAGAGAGGAGGCCACTGGAGAAGGGATGGGCTCTGCCCTGGAGCATCAGAAAAGCTTTTCCTAAGGAGATGAAACCGGGCCAGGTGGGGAAGATGGGGTCATTCATGAGCTGGCGGGGAGGGAGGGCCCCAGGCAGGGAGCAGCTGTGTAAAAGACCATGGCCTCATCCTCTCCATCCCAGGGCCCTGGGATGGCCTCATCAGCTTTGCTCTTCTCTCTCTGGTGCTCAGGGACCCTGCTGACTGCACCCCAGCACACCGCGATTGGGGCACACCCTGTCTCCATGCCAACATACAGGGCCCAAGGGACCCCTGCGTACAGCTATGTGCCACCACACTGGTAAAGCCTGCAGTCCATCCAAGTGAGTGGGGTCTGGGGTGGGAGAGGTAGGAGGGTGAGTGAACACTAGGGCTGCTTTAGAATCCCAGGTGTCATGGGGCAGGGAATCCCAGTACCAGTTGCTTTCATGCTTCAGTTCAGTAATATCACTCTTAATAATGGTGTCACTTTACTATATTCTAAGTACTTAACATGTTATCTCATATCCCATCAGCTCTGTTGTACAGATAACTGCGTAGTTCAGCATCCCTAACCAGTAACAATGAAGCAGGGACTTGAACTCCAGTCCTCTAGTACTAAATTCTAGACTCTTTACCATACGGTCTTCACACTTCTTTGAACTGTGGGCACCATTCTTCAACTGAAATCTTACTCCAATCAGATGTTGGCTCTGACTAGTGCCAACCCCCCGCACCCCACCCCCGTTCCTCTTGCCCTTGGCAGCTTCTGAGGCAGTGCCAGTGAACCGCAGGGGGCAGGGGGCTCAGCAGCTCTGCCCTCCACATCCTCCAGGGGCTGTTGCACTGGACAGGAAGCAGGCAGCTCTGCTGGAAAGCACAGAGGGCTCCCGAGGGGAGGGGAGGCGGTCCCCTGGCTTCCTAAGTGGCCTTGGGAACACCACTGTCACTAACTGGCTCTCCCCTTCCTCCCCAGATCTGGAGTCACACATTGTATGCAACTACTCAAGTCTTACAGGTGCTGGAGCAGTTCCCTAGCAGCACCACCTCTATTTGCAAGAAGAGACAACGGAAGTGCAAGGGTCACTTTATGCATCTTTAGCGGTTTTGATTTTTATTTTTGGTTTATGTAAAAGCTGCTTTTTCTAATCTCCTGCCTCTCCCCACTACCCTCCTCTTAGCCACGGCCCTTCCACCTTCACCCCTCCTCCTACCTGACCAGGCACTTCCTCTCTGCTCTTCTTCTTTCCTTCCCCAAGCGTCCATTCCCCGGGGATCCCGGTCTAGCGGCAGGTAGAGAGTGGGGGTTATTGCAGTGGTTCAGCTGAAGGCACGATTTCTGATTTCCTTTGAAAAGCCTAACAGATGTAGCCCTTGGGTCCAGGGTGGGAACTCAGAGCTGTTGAGCAGGCTCCATCTTTGGGGGATGTTTCCTTTTTTTATTTTTCTCAAGATTAGTTTAGGACATTACCATGTCCTGACACAAATGAAATGTCTTCTGAGAACCATCGCAACAGATCAAGAACAAAACACCTGATTAGGTAGGAGTGTTCATAGCAGCTTAATATCCCAGGTGAGAACCTGGGGAAAACAGATTTTTGGGAGAGAACTTGGGGGTGTGGGGAGCACTGTGCGAGGGAAGAGGGAGAGAGGTGCTTGCCTGCTGGCTTTGGTTTGTAAGGCCTCTGGCTAGATTGCCTGGGCCTAGCCCCTCTGATTTGCACAGTAATGTAAACTGACCTGGCACTTCCTCAGAAGGTGATTTTGACCTCAGACCTGCCAAGCAGCTGCAGGGTCGTGGGCTCCCAGCCTCCCAAAGCCTTGGACTGCCAGGCGCCCTGTGTAACCCACAGATGGGTGCTGGCAGCTCTGAAGGTCAGAATAGTGAAGGAAAAGCAATAGCAATAAACATTTCATAGACTCATGGAACTGAAGGGACCTTAGCAATCATCTCATCCATTCCCCTATTTGACTGATGAGGAAGCTGAGGGCTGGAAAAGAGGAAAGGACTTCCCTAGATCTTGCAGTAAATTAGCATCAAATGTAGCCTTTCTACCTAGGGGCATGTTGCTCACAAAAATTTTACCTAGGGATGGACTGGCTTGGTTTTGTAAAAAGTAAGTCAGCAGTGCCCACATCTGGTGAGCTCTGGAACAGTATCTGTCTGCGTTTTTGTTTCTGTTCTTTTCCTCCCTAGACTCCAAAGGCAGGGGGAAGACTGGGCAGAGGTTACATGGGAGCAGATGGCAGGAACAGAAATTGCAAATGAAGAAATAGCATTTGGAAATTCTGTGAAGACACCTGGAACTTATGTCCTGTACCTGACTCCAGCCCTAGGAGAGTGAGCAGGTGTGCTGTCTGAAAGGAGGGTCCATGCATTTAGGACAGTAGCGCCTCATCCTGAGAGAAGAGGAGGACCAGGATGAGGCCTGGGAGAAGAGGGGTCCCTGGGTCAGAAGGCCCTGCTAGTCTCAGCTAGGAGCCTGGTTTGCTCCCCTGCACCTAGCACTTGGCTGGGCCAGCGGCCCCCCTAGTGGGGGCAAGGACATTTTACTGTACAGAGTGGGATCATTGATAATACTTGGGACTTTTAAATAACTTTTTCAATTTCAATTCATGCAAATGTGGACCTATCCCTATCTCTACCTCCCATCACTCCCTAAATCAGGAAAAAAATCAGAAACCCCTGGGCCAGGAGGGCAAAGCCCATCAGCATCCTCAGCCCAGAGTCAGAAGTTGGGGCCAACCTTCTTGGCCTGCCAGGGACCTGGAGGACCAGTAAGGAGAAACCCAGCTGTTCTGAATGGTCTGTCCCAGGTGCTGAAGTTTCATTTTAAAACAACCAAGTTTCCCAGTGTTAATCCATTTTTTGCAAATACCTCCTCCTCCTCTCTGGTTTGTAAGGGTGAAGATGGTTTTAGATTATGTCATACATATTTGGAAAATGCCAAAATAATAATAATAGTAACAGGAAACCTTGGCATTTATCTATCAGGTGCTTCATAGATTTCAGAGCACTTCACAGCCTTTAATTTACTGGCCCTGAGGCAGAGACATGGTCAGAGTTATTATACCCACTAGACAAACGAGGCGGCTGGTTCTAGAAGGAAAGGGAACTTGCCCAAAGTGAGCAGAACACTGGCATCCTGACAGGCTTCCTGAACCTGCTGCATCCAGATGGGCTGCAGTAGAACCAGAGAGGAAGGAAAAAAGAGGAGACTTAGGAATGACCTTGTTACTTTCGTTCTTTCTACACCAGTAAGTAAAAACTAATATCTAGTACCTTGCAGTTCACAAAACAATTTCACATCCATCTTCTGATTTAATCCTGTGAAATAGATTATTCCTCCCATTTGACTTAGGAAACAAACTCAGAAAAGCAAAGTGACTTGTCTATCCGCTTTCTCTCTCCCTCCAGTTTGACTTATACACAGGCTTGCAGACTGATGCTTCTATGCTCTGCACCCTCTTAGCCCTAGTATGTAACTCAAGATCAAAGACAGGCCCCAAGGCATAACCAAGGCACAGAAAGGCTGTAGTCTGAATAGCCCAGGCCCAGCACCCCTTTTATAGTATGAGTGTTGGAGCCTCGTTCTCTTGCTCTGATGGAGATCCACAAGCCTGGCCAGGCAGACATGACAATGAACTGCATTGCTGGCCCCGCGTGTAAATCCCTCTCCACCCCCTGCACTGCCTCTCCCCAGTACCACAGCTCGGTGGCCAGCATTGGGGGTATATAGATGGTTCCAGTCACCAGCCAGCCCTTTTACCCCCACCTCCCTTCTATTTGACTCCCTCTCAGTAGCTTGGGGCCTGGGAAGCTGGAGTGCCCCCAATCTGCCACATTTTGAAAATGTTTTAAAAATGTCTTCCCCGTGAGACAGGACAATTGCTGCTCCTCTCTCTCTCCTGGTAATGATCCTAAAGTGATATTCCCCTTCCCTAAATATTGAACAAGGACATACACCTGTCCAGAGTGTTTTCATGTACAAAGTACTTTGACATTGATTGCCAAATTACTCATCTTAAAACTAAGTCTCAGAAGTCTTAAGACTTGCCAAAGGTCACAGAGCTCAAGAGAAAGAGCCAACACTTGAACTCTTCAGATCCTCTGCTCTTCCTGCTGGCACCTGCGGGTCTGGGTGGCAGGGTGAGGAAGGGATGGCTTCCTGTCTGTCCCAGGGCTGAGGACCAGGACCTAGAGACGGTGCGGAGTCTGACTCCTTACCCAACTCTTACCTCTGGCCACCCAAGTTGTTCCAAGTTTGAGGTATCTACTTCTAGAGGTCTGGGGGGTGCTTCTTTGGAGGAGCTTGCTTTGTTCTGCGTCACCTCCAGAAGTGAATCATGGGACATAAAGTAGGGCGGGCCTCTTGGTCACCAAGTTCTAGCCAGTCTTAGCAAGGCCCTGGCTTAGCCAGGCCTGGAGCCCTGCATGTCAGATTCCTCAGCTCTGCTCCACGGCCCGAGTGGGAGGGCCGGGAAGGCGTGGGTCTTGGGCACAGCACTCTGACTAGAGTAACTTGGATCTCACCATGGCATTTCTCCGCGATTGCAGTTGAAAGTGTGTGGCAGCTCTGCTTTTCCATCCTGCATTCTACCACATCGCTGCAGGGACATGCCAAGCTTAGCCATCCAGAGGGGTTAGGTCAGGCAGTGCAGTGGGCAGGCGGGAAGCAGGATCACAGTAGAAACTCAGCCAGGCTAACATCAGATTCCACACCTGAGCCCCTGAGAGCTCAGGCTCCACGGGCAGGCCAGGCTGCTGCAGGGTCTGTCCTTCACCTGTCCATGGTCCCCTCCTAGAGAACTTATTTCTGAAATTAGGCATTACTTGGTTCCAGGGCCCAGCCGTCAAAATTTCTGGCAGGCCAGCTTCAACATTCCATAGCCAACCTCGCCCGAACCAGACTCGATCCCACTCGCTCAGCTTCTCTGGTGGGCACTTTCTGTCTTGCATGCTGTTGCGTCCAGCCCAGTGGCCAAGTGAGACACACAGGAGTTAGGACTGGCTGTCCCAAAGCCTGAAGGGAAACTAGAGTGCTCACTCTCCTGTGGCGGCATCCATAGTCCCTAGGTCCTGTCATGGCGGTGAGACCCGTACTCATTCCAGCTCCTGGTACAGGGGTGTTTTCCTTCCCGGAGAGAACAGATAGAACAGCTTTGCAGATAAGTACCAGCCCCTGGGAGTCAAATGGGTGAAATCATCTTTGAGCTGGACCCCAGCAAGACCAGCACCTGCAGGCTCCAGCCTTCCTCCTCCAGCCTGAAATCGGGAAGAGTGGGTCTGCCCAGAGACCACCTTCGCGGGTCAGCAGGTTGTGTGCATCTAGGGCGGGACGTGAGCTTCTCCTCACCAAGGGGAGGCCAGACCAGGCCTCTAGCAACTTGGAGTTGTAATGACCTTTAAAGGCCCAGGGCCTGTCCCCCTCTCCTGTTTCATATCACCTGTTCTCATGGCATGTAACATCCCTGTGAGAGTATTGTATATGATTTTGTATTTTTTAATTCATTTTAATCTACAGGTTGGAATCTGATTTTTAAATTTTATTGGAATTCACATTTTAAAAGGAAAAACATTTAAAATAATAATAAACCTTTGACCAGTGTCTTCCAAGTAGTTGATCAAAGAACTTATAGGTGTTTTCAAAACACAGCCTGGAGTGCAAAGATGGGAAAGCCCCATGGCCTCGCTTGTGTATATGAAGTGTAAATCTGGTTTGGTTTTGTTTTGGATTCTTTTGGGATTTTGTTTTGTTGTGATCAGATAGTGATCATTCTGAAAGATTGAAGCCAAGAATTTGTAACTATGATATTTACTGTAAGCTGTAGAACATTCAATAACTATTAAAAAAAAGTTTCCCAAAAACGTCGGGGGTGACCAGGCTGGTGGTTATTGGGGCAGGGGACACAGACCACCTCCTGGCCTGTGAGTCCCTGGCTTCTTCCCAAGTTGGTCCTAAACTTGTTCTCACAGGCAGGCCACACCTGTGCTGCATCTCCCTGCAGGCACGGGGGCTGCCCTGGACTCACCGCTGAGGGGCTGGGTAGTGGCCATCAGCACCTGGACAATGGTGTGTCCTACAGAAGCACAGGGAAGCCAGGGATGATGAAGGCTGACATCTGTGTGCTCACTTACGTGGCTGGTGCCGCACGTGATGCCTGGTAACTCTCAGAATCCTCACAACATGATGGGAAGTGAGTCCTGTTAGGCCTGTCCTCGGGAGGGACGGCTCAGGGAGTAAGTACCCTGACCACGGTAACAGCTGGGGAGGGCAGAGTTGAGCTCACCATAGTCGGCTCCACATTCCAGGCACCACCCCAGAGGAGGTGATGCCTGACTTGCTTAAAGGGCCAGTCTGTCAAGTGGGAAACCAAGGAAGGTACGTGGTCACCATCCAAATGTTCAAGTGCTGGCAGTTCTGCATCCTAAACATCTCACTTTTGTCTCCCTTCTGGACAAAGCCACAACCCCAGTCCAGGTCGGGGCTTCTCTTCCTGGTCATTGTGGCCACCATTTCCTTCCAGAGCCTGGCCCCCCACAGATCTCTGCTCTCCTAGCCTCCAAGCACTCAGCCTCTTCCACTGGAGAGAGAACAGGCCCAGGTTGGCTAACTGACCCAGCTCACACTGGGCTGTAATTACAACCCAGACACCTCTTCAGCCTTTTCCACAGCCTCACTCTGCCATCGCACCATCCCCAGCTTCCCCTCCTGTGCTCACCTGGTGAGCAGCTCAGTCGGGTGTGGGAGGGGAGGGCACCTCTGCCCACAGGCAGTGCCAGGCTGTCACAGCAGCCCTCTAGGGCAGGAAGGGGCGTTTCCCCAGGAACTTGGCTGCAGGTCCCAGTGGCAGGGCTGAGGGCCCAGAGCAAGCAGGGAGGCAGAGAACGACCCAGCGCCCACATTCTGACCCTGCAGGAAAGGGTGTGGGTCGATAAGGAACGGTCAGCCCAGCACCCACCCTGTCCTCCAGGTCCCGTCCTGCCAGTGGCCTGAGCCAGCCGTGACTCAACAGCTGGCAAGGCCCTCAGGATTTAGAGGGGACAAGCCAGGAGAGCTTCCAGCGGGGAGGGCGAGGATGGGGTGCTGCCTCTATTTGGGAACGGAAGAGCAAGGACTTTCTCATAGGGGAGTTACATTTGCAAGCAAAGGAACTGTGGTCATTCAGCCGAGAAAAGACGCTAAATTCTGGGTGATACATCTGCGTTTGGGGGAAGGAGCTCCTGAAGGCCAGGAGCCTCAGACACACCCCTCCCTTGACCTCAGGCCCTCTTCGCCCCTGGGAGCTGGCCTCAACGTCCCCGAAGGACAGGTAAAGAAACTGGCCCAGCCACACCTCTCTTACCTTCTAGCATGCAGACAATTGGGGCGTCTGGAGGGAAGCAGTGTTTTTTACCCCAGGTCCTGGCACCAAAGTGGGAGTGTCCCTTACCTGGCCTGGGAAGCCCTTTCTCAGTCTCCACCCTGGCTGATCCTGGATGTGCCTCACCCCAGGCGAGAGGGCATCTAGAAGGCATAGCCTCGGCCTCACCCGGTGGGGCTGAGTCCCAGGTGGAACGGAGTTGGGTGGCTGACGAGACACGGAAAAGCTAGACCCTGAGATACAGCCAACAGCTGACAAATAAGGAGGGAACCGTCCTTGGCTGCAGGGTGATGCCTGCCAGTCCCCCACAACGGACACCCTGTCCCAGAATCTGACAGCCTTTGGTGCTCCAGACAGTTCCTCCTGATGTCCAGCCTCCGTCTCCTTCCTTCCCTCTCGTAGAGCGTTGTCCCCTGGCTCCGCAGAGGTGCCCTTCCTTTCCTGCCCACTGGGAAGCCCCGCGAGAGGAGGTGGGGAGAGCTGGATCTCAAGGCATGTCCACCAGCCTCCCCTTAAGGGCAGAGCTTTCTCTGAAGCAGCCAGGCCAGGCCCTGCAAGGCTGCTGCCCAGTAGGAAGGCCCACAGGGGTCCCCTCCACACTCCTGGGCCTCTCTCCCTGGAGTCTTAAGGTCTCACCACCGATGGCCTGGCACAGTCAGGCTGCTGCAGGGAGCTCAGCCCACTCAGCCTGGCCCTGCTCTCGCCATGCCCTTGAGATGACACCAGCCACATCCCTGGTCTAACATGGACCCTGCATTCTTCCTGACTCCACAGCAGCAGCAACACCTGGCCTTGTGCCCCACCGTCTCCCATTCCCCTTCCGGGGTACTGCACTTTCCCGCTTTCCTTCCACCTTGCCAGTGCCCTGGAGCAGCCCAACAGTGCCCTGAGCCCTCTGCCTGGAACATGTCCCCCCGACCCCGGCCCAAGCTAGTACTGGTAGCAATGCCTACCTGAGTGCTTCCAGATGTTCTCTCCAGATGACTCAGGACTACTGCACCTCTTTACCCACCCAGTTGTCCCTAATCCCTTGACCTACATCCCATCACCAAGCCCTGGCGGTCTGTCCTAGGAATCTATTGGACCCATCTGTTTCTATCACCCACGCAGCCCCGCCTCCACCATCTCTCGCCTGGATGTTGGCAACAGCTTCCTTGTGGAACCTGCGCTCCTGCAGCTCCCCCACCCGCCAAGAACAGGCTGACCGTGCCCTTCCCCTGCCTACATGCTTTAGGAGCTCCTTGGGGTCCCTGGGATACGGCTGATAGCTTCCGAGAGCCCACGTGGCTGCCTTCTAATGCCCACCCCACCCGGTCTCCACACCTGGCAAGATGGTTCTACTTCCAGCCGCTCCAACTCCTCATTTCTGTTGATGGCTGGCCTGTGCATACGCTGTTGCCTCTCTGTGGCGCACGCTTCCCCTTCCACATTACCCAGCTCCCAGTATGTCTTACCACATCGTCTTCCAGGCTCCACTTCCTCTAGAGCTGTGTCCAGTACAGAGCCACTAGCCACAGGTGGCTATCGGAGCCTTTGAAATACACTGGTTCATAAGGTGTGGTTTAAGCGTAAAACACCAGCTTTCAAAGCAAAAGTATTAGTGGCTCATTCACAATTTTTATAATGACTATATTGAAATGAAAATATTTTAGACGTATACTGGGTTAAATAGAATGCATTATTGATATTAAAATTAACTTCACCTGCTTTTTTTTTTTTACTTTTTAAAATGTGGCTATTAGAAAAATTTAAATTACATACATGACACACACTATATTCCGCTGGATGGCACTGCCCCGAAGGCTTCAGTGAGAACCAGATGGAGTGAGGGGCCTCCCCCGGCCCCACTTCACCGGCTGCCAATGAGAAGGCCCCTCGAGGGGGCACGGCCTGTGCCACACACGGTGCCTGACAGATTCAGGGAAGGGACTGACGACCTGGGAAGAGGCCCAGGGAAAAGAAGTTCCTTGTGACACAACTCTCCCACCTTTTATTCAACAAATGGATGGAGCTGGAGATGCAAGGACAGGACAACGGCACAGTTTCAATAAATAAGAAATGGGGCAACAGTGGGGCCCGTGCCTGCACAGCCCACATAAATAACCAGGTTGCTGAGCCAGGGTGGAGACGGGCGGGGCAGCTGCCTGCACTGCCCACACTAAGGGACAGACACACCAACACCACAGGGACACAGACCACCTAAGGCAGAGGTGCCTCTCCAGCCTGTCACACACCTCCCCCAAAGCTCCTGATATCGTGGGGGTGGCTAGGCCCCACCCAGGTCAGGTCTGTTTTATCAATTTGAATAAATAAAAACAGCAGGTCGGAGGCAGGCACATGCATTCAGCCCCTTCTGTGGGCAGAGCCGTGGATGGGCAGCCCCATGGGGGCCTTGAAGGCAGAGGCCCTGAAAGCAGCAAAAATGGGGCCAGATGAAGCGACTAGCGGGAGGGGCGGCAAGGAGGTGAGCTCGCACCCACAGCACAGCCCAGAGCCCGCAGGGAGCTGGAGAGGCCTGGGGCACTGCGACTTCACAGTCAGAAAAAGGGGGACCCAGAGACGGCCAGGGATTTGCCAGGGATTAGAACCCAGGGATTCGGACTCCCTGCCTGTGACATTTTGTTGCCCCTCCTCTGCACAGGTCCTGCTGGGAGAGGAGGGGAGGCACATCTGCTCTGGGGCCCTGGACAGAGGCAGGAGGTGGCTAATTACCAAGGGTGGGGCCAGGGGTGCCAAGCAGAGGGCCCCTCCCATCACCAGGGCCTGGCCTCCTGGTGGCACAGAGGATCTTACGGGTCCCAGGATCTGACCAGGGCACAGGGTCAGGGCATCCTGCAGGGAAGGAACTGGGTGGCAGGGACGGGTGGGTTTCCAACTTGCTCCTGTGACTGCGCCTGCCGCGGCCTCCTCGCTGGGGCAGACACTGCCACCTCCGGCCTTGCCGTTTTGTCTGCTGGGCCATTGCTTCTGGATCCTTGCAGGCCCAGCTGCAGCTCGACCTCCTCCAGGAAGCCTTCGGACCTCCCAGGACAGGGCTGCGGTGCCCTCAGATGACCAGGTTGCTCTCACTTAGCCGGACCACATAGCGGCTCTCCTGGGGGACAGAATGACTGGTCAGAGCTGAGGCTCCAGGAAAGTGGCCCATGCCCAGGGGTCCCTGCACCTCCACCCCTACCCCATCTGCAGGCAGGTAGACACTTCCTCTCTGTGGCCCTCACCTCGGCCTTCTTCTCTGCTGAGGGCTTTGGCCACTTAGTATGGCTCCCACTACTTCCCAGGAGTGCCCGCTGCTCAGTGGGGTGGCCAGCTTGTGGGGAGTCAGTGAAATCACCCACTGAGGGCCCAACCTCCGTGATGGTCTTCACCTCAGAGGCCCATGAATTTGTCCGCTGCTCAGGAATTCGGGCCACGCGGAACCTGTGAAGAGAGGTGGTGCAATCATCCCCCGATTAGAGGAAGAACCCCAAAGCAGAGAAGGCAGCAGGTTCATTGGTCAGGGCCTGAGGCCTTCCCACACCCTTTTATCCACAGATGAGCCCCCAAGCCTAGTTTGCAGGTAGACAGGCCCTTGGCCTGAGGGGCCCAGGTGTGACCAGTAGCCAGGATCCTGCCTCAGGGACCCAGGGCTCCATGTGAGAGGATCCCTGAGCAGATCCCTGGTCACCCCACTGCCCAGAGGCACCTGAGGCCAGGAAGGGAGGTGGGGCGTCACCAGGCAAGGTATCTGGGGCTCAACCTGGGGCCCTGCTGCCCCCCACTCACACCCTGGCTGTCGTCTCTCCCTGACCCTGCTTCATCTGCGCCCACCTCACCTGCCCACAGACAAGATAGTGATCTCGCCCTGGCGTCCGGCCTTGGCCCCGGTCTTGGGCGCCCTGGCTGGGTTGGGTAGAAATCTGGGAGTGGGAGTGGTAGCGGCCGCAGCTTCAGGGGACAGCAGCACCTCGGGCCACTTCTGGTTACAACGGGAGCACCAGACGCCAGAGAGCGAGGTCAGGCCCTGCACGGTGTGGAGGTGGTGGTAGTGTGGGCAGATGTACGGCCTGCTGGGTCCGGGCGGCAGCCTATGGAGGGCACAGGTGGCAGTGGTCACGAGGGCAGACCAGGACCAGGAGACCACAGAAGGTGGTGAAGGGTATTGAGGTGACAGGAGAGGGAGCATCCCCAGGAAGTGGGCTGATTAGCTGGTTAGGGGCTCCCCTTACCACCTGCCCACTCACCTGGGCACAGGCCGGTGGCTGGTTTGTACCAGCTGTTTGCTGTGATACTCCTTCAGCAGCTCCTCCAGGGCCGCTGCATTCTCTGTGGGCAGCTGAAGTCAGAACCCGGCCCTGGGCCATGAGGGGCACTCCCCCAGGACCCCTGGTCTCAATACCAATCCCCTGACCTACCTGCCATGCCCTCCCTGCCTGGGGCACGTGCCTTTTCCCTCCCTACCCTCCCCTCCCCAATCAGGCAAGAATAGGGGGGAAAGGGGGCAGCACTATCCATCACACAGGTCAGAGAGGGGAGGCTGGCCCGGTGACCCCTGAGGCTGCCTCGCAGGCTCTGAGAGGAGACCCTCCTCTCCTGGGCACAGGGATAGTCAGGCCTTCTCCTCACCTTTCTTCTCCGTGATCAGGCGCACCAGGACCCCGATGGTGTCCTCGTTGGCGTCTTCAGCCCCGTAGGCGGGGTTGTTCCCTGGGGTCAGAAGAGGACTGTGACTCTGGGGAAGTGAGGAGGGTGGAGCCCCAGACTCTGGAGCTATACCAACATGTGGCAGCAGAGGGCGCACCAAGCCTTCCTAGGCGCTGGGCTCCAAGCCTGGGTGTTTACAAACCCGTCCAGGCCGCAGCTCTGAGAAGCCCATTATCACCCTCACTGCTCAGCATCACTGCTCCCTGTACCCAAAGCCCGGAGCTTAGCAGTGTCAGGTCCATCGGAACTCCACCGTTCCTGCAGGGAGTGTGGGTCGGGGCAGCGCTTCTGGGGCCTGCCCTCTCCCCCCTCAGCCAACACCTCCTGCAGACACTGCCAATCCCAGGCCTGTTACCTCCCTGCACACCCTCCTGTCTATAAGCTAACTGGGGGCGCTTGGCCAGCTCAGGGCCCAAGCCTCAAAGGCATGAAAATGGGCCACGTGCTCAATCCTGGGCCAGCAGCAAACAGCTCCTAGGACAGCATTTGGAAAAACCCTAACTTAACTCTGGTGCTGTGTCACATGTAGAAATTTTTTGATCTTTGCAACCATAGTAAAACAAAGATTTATGTTTTTGATATTTATTTTATATATTTAAATGCCATTTAACAAAGAAAAATCAACCAAAAAAATGAGTTTGCGTGTCACCTCTGACACGCGTGTCATAGGTTCTCCATCACTGTCCTAGGACTTGTACCGAAAGCAGCCAGCAGTTAGAGTTAGTCCTGAGCTGGGAAAAGAAGGGAGTCCCAGGCCCAAAGCTCCGGTCTCCATCCTGCCCGCCCAGACTTTATCGTCAGGAGTTGGGAAGGGCTCTGGCCAGGCCCAAGCCTGAGGCACCGGCACAGGAGGTGCCATTTCAATCTCAACTTGGCCATAAGGCTCCTATGGGCAATATATGTGCACATGCCCTCCTGGCCCTCGGGTAGAGTAGGGTGTGGGGAGGAGACAAGGGGCCGAGGGCCCGGGGGTGGGGGTGGGAGAAACACACGTCTGTCTCCCTTTGGTCCAGGACTCACAGCTCAAATCACAGCCTGGAAACCCAAGCCTCGCCTGGTGCCTGCCCAGGACAGCTGCCCTTCGGGCCAGAGGTCAGAGGTCACTTTGAGGATTGAGTAGGAGGTCAGACCCTTGAACCACACACACACTGTAGCCCTGAAGAGTTCAGACTCCGTCAGCCAGGCATGGCTGCACCCAAAGTGGGAATCCCACTACAGCCCCTTCACCTGCTCTATCCGTCACCACCTAGAGCCATCTCATCCTCCCTTCTACTTTGTCAGTGGCCCACATGCAGCACCTCCAGGAAGCCCTCCGGACTGGCCCTCTGCAGGCCTCTCCCTGTCAGACCCTCCGGGCCAAGCAGGATCCCTCGGGCAGCCCCCAGCTGAGCTGGGCCGGCCCGTGCCCTCTGGCCTCCCCACCAGGACTCCGGGCCAGCCTCACCGCTGCCTCCACCTCCTTGCTGCCCGACTTCCTTGTTGGCAGTGCAGTGGTAGCCCTTCCGCTTGAGCAGGTTACACACCAGGATGCCCAGCAGCCCCATGAGGCAGAAGATGGGCACGATGGCGATAACTGCATAGGGGGCCGCTGTCTCCTCCTGGC